GGGGGATCGGGACTTCCGCTTCCTCCCTTCTCTTCCTTTACTCCCTCCTCCTTCTCCTCTTCCTCTCCTCTTCCTCTCCCTCTTCCCTTCTCTTCCTCTCCTCCCCTCCCCTCCCCTTTCTCCTCTCCTCTTTCCTTCTTCCTCTCCTTCTCCCTCTTCCTTGATAAAGTGCAGAGTATGGCGGGGACATAACTAACCTCGGGAACGTTGACGTGTTTGCGTGTTTGTCTGCTTGCATTCTTGTCCCCGTGCACTCACCTGGGCTCCCCGGGGTGTCGCTTGCAGACTTCTTCTCCCGGCTGAGCGCGAGCGCCTGCAGCCTGGCGCTGGGCAGCAGCCTGGCGGACCTGGTGCGCTACACCCGCCAGGGCTTCCAGCAGCTCCGGTAAGCCACCAGCCCCCGACCCGCCCGCCCACGCCTGGGGACCTTTTTTCTTTTTTTGACACATCGGAAGCCTCGGCAGCAGTCCGGACGCCCGTGTCATCGGATGCCAAACTCCAGGAGAGACGAGCGCCACCAGCCGGCCAGGACACGGGTCCACCGACACTCCCAAGCACCAGGTGACCTTCGGGTGGACGTTGGGTCGCGCAGGTGCAGAGCAGAGGGCCCGAGATGCTCTTGCCCTTCCCGACTAAAGGACCCAAGTGCAATGTAGCCTGCAGGGCGTGCGAATGGTCTAGAAACATTTCTCTCTCCATATATGTATATATATTTTTATTTTTATTTTTGGAATGCAAGCTGATAAATGAAACGAGGAGAAGCGATTTCAACCCAGAGCGACCCCGGTCACCGAAGCCAGGCCATTCCCAGAAGGAAATATTTTTTATACCATGATTTCGGGTGAAGGGTTTTAGGGTTTTTGTGGGTGATGATGATGATGATGATGATGATTTTTTCCTTTCAAGTTTTGGGGGAAATGTTTTGTTGAACGAACTCTAACGGCCAATCCGCAAACTGTCACGTTGTGAAGGACTCCACTGTCACCCACTGTCTGCCAATGAACAGCGGCTTCGAGGACAACCAAGTATTTTGTTGTCGCCTGTCGAATCCAAGGCGACCCCCTTCTCTGTCCCCAGTTGCCTGAGTCCTGCGTTGTCACCCGGGCTCCTGTTGCACCTAACTGAGCTGGAAACTGGAAGGCAGCCCAGGTCGGAGCGGTGACAAAAGGAGCCACCAGCACGTTGGGGACACGTCGTGATCTCCACTCCCGAGGGCTTCGCAGTGCCACGCCCAGCCCTGCTGCGGAGACGGGGACAGTTCTGAATGTCCCACTTTTGGGGGGGAAGAAGGGAACCACCATTCACACCCGACCAGGTGACACTCACGAGCTTTTGAGTGTGCAACCAGGGCTGGGGCTGGCGGTGCTGACAGTGGCCAACGATCACTTGGTGACTCAGGCTGTCTGAGAGCAACTCTTGGGTTCTGTCAGGGGACAAGAAAAACGAAATCTACTTCCTTAGAGAGGCTATATTTTTCTGCTACACATTGTTTTATATTTATAGCAAAAGGAGACTTTCAGGGTTCCTCGATGGTCCAGGGGAAATGAACCCCCCGAGGGGGTGCGGGGGTTTTGGGGTGGATAATTTAGACTTAAAAAATTAACCCTCACCGCTTGCCTTCACTCCAGAGTGTTCTCCAGCAGCTCGACTGATCGGGCTGAAGGAGAACCGTGGCCTTCCCTTAAGTTATGCCCCTACTGTATACATGAAGCCAAGTCCACTTTGAATGAGCTACCCAGGAAAGAACATGCCAGAACTCCCATGCCTGTCAGCACAGATTTCCTTTGTCATTGATTGACACTTAGAAGGATTATTCCAAAACATTTTGGAGTGCAGTGTTTTGAAAAGTCAGGTTTCTTTTTCTTTTTGCTTTCTTCCTTAATCCCTTTTGGGAAGAAGTAGAATTTTGCACATGCATTAAGATCTGAGGAGTGAGCACCGAGCATCTCTGTCACAAACTGGCTCCTTTTTGTCCCCCTTGGCCCCATCGGGTCCCCCACACACCTCCCAGCAAGCGTGTTGCACGTTTTCGTTATTTATTTGCCAGTGAAGGGGAAGGAGGAACCGCCCTTGCTGAGGATGAGGTGTCTGTGGCGAATGAGCGAAAGGGCTCAGGCAGTGCTTGGGTGGATCTGGGGGGCAGCCGTGCCGAGTGAACGCTTGAAGCCGTTGTCCCGCCCGTGTGACCACCTGCTAAGCCAGAGTCCCCCGCCCCTGCCTGGGTTCGAGCCACAGAGCCCCAGCCACGGGAAGACCTCGTGTGACATTCTGAACTTGGTCCCCTGTGCTGGCATCTCCAAGCTAAGCCCGGATCCTTGCTGCTTAAACTCCTCGCTCCAAAACCCGCTGAATCGAAGGGGGACGAGTTGTGTGCTTGTGGCATTGCGCGCCTGTCACTTGTAGGTGGCAGAGGGGACGAGGCACTGGAACCATCCGGTGACAGCTGTCTTTTTTTCCCTGCTGCCTTGGCTGTCCCCTCCCCACAGCAAGCCACCTGTGCGCTGCGAAGGGTTGTGTTCTTTGTGACAGGTGCCAGTCTGTGCGGACCGTGCCCAGGGTGCGTGTGTCCCCTGCCCTCGGACATTTCTGAGTAGATTTCTCAGCCAATTCTAAAAGAACAGATTGCTTTCTCAGTGGCTTTACTCCTTTGTGGGGTTTTTACCTCCAACCCCTGAACTCTAGATTAAGGTGTTTTTGGTTTTTTTTTAATTTTATAAAATTTATTTTCACTTTTTTCTTCAACCATATTTTGCTTTTGTATATACTAAGGTTTTATTTGTCCCTTGAAAAACAATTTTTTTTTCCCCCAGACAGGGTCCTGCTCTGTTGCCCGGGCTACAGTGCTGTGGCATCAGCCTAGCTCACAGCAACCTCCAACTCCTGGCCTCAAGCGATCCTCCTGCCTCAGCCTCCCAAGAGGTGGGATTACAGGCATGCGCCACCATGCCCGGCTCATTTTTCTATTTTTTGTAGAGACGGAGTCTCGCTCTTGCTCAGACTGGTCTTAAACTCCTGACCTCGAGCGATCCTCCCACCTTGGCCTCCTACAGTGCTATAGGATTACAGGCGTGAGCCACCACACGCCTGGCCAAAAAAATCAACAAATTTGCATTCATCAATTGGTATTCTTTTGGTCACTGGATATTTTTGATCTTTATTACAGCACTCATTGTACCTAAAAAAATTCCTAATGGCTGCCTTTTTAATACAGTATGTAAAAGTTAGTGGCTGACCAATCCTTCATGTTCACAAGGTCTTTTCACTGTAGGAACCTAAAGGATTTTTTTTCATCATTTGCAGTTTTTCACTGCATGCTTACAGTTCCCAAGGGCAGAATGTATACTGCGGTAGATCATTCGAAAAGGACTAGATTATGAAATTAAACCCCTGAATACGTGAAGTTCTTAAAACAGTAACAGTACACATTTTCACAGACAAATACAAAACATCTTAAAAGAGTGAAAATAGAGTGACACCCTTTTTAGCACCGCAGTTTCTTGTCTTTAATTAGGAACTGGAAGAAGAATGTTTTACTTTCAAAAGTGTAGACTTGTTCCCGTCCTTTCTGGAGATCATTTAAAATGTTCACCAGCGAACTTAAGAGCCCCGATAAATAATGAAAACCACTTTCCTGAAATTTAGCCATGACACTGGGTTTAAGATTGTGAAGACACGAGCCACACACAGCGGCTGTGACAAGCAGAGGAACAAGAGGTCACCAGGAATAGGATTACAATTGGAGGATAATTTGACTGGTATTATGACTTTGATCATAATGCTGAATGGGAATGCTTAATGAATATTAAGACATTATTAATGTGTTAATAATGCTTAATGCATTATTAAGACATAATGCTGAAAGTGTCTTCCCATTTTCTCATGAAAAGACCTTTATTTTTTTTTTTAGATCTGTTTTGACCAAAGTGTGTACCTGTTGGCCCTAGACAGGCAGGGGCCACAGTCATGGCTCTTGTCCTTTGTCCTTTACTACCACATCTCAGGATATTTAGAAAGCCGACAAACCCGACCGCTTTCTGGCTGCAAACTTGCCTTAATTGGTACCTTACCTATTAATGTCGTCAGGCTCAGGAGCTTTACTGGTTTTTGATTCCTGTTCGGTAAGTTTGGGAAGCAAAAAGAAAACCATCCTGTTCCTGGTCTACAAAGGGACGTGTGTGCAGGCCCACGCTTGCAGAGAGGAAGGCTGATTGCAGATATTTGTGCCTTTGACCAAGCTCAGTTTTGAAGGGATGCTGTGTTTGTTTCGCACTGATGTCAGGTGACGTTACAGGGCTGTGATGAACCTTCTACTTCCATGCTTTATCAAGTTTTTGAGGTGTATTTGTGCCTCTTTGGGTAAATTCGGTTTGAGGTTGGACTTTTGGGTTCTGTTGTTTTTTTTTAATGTGCTTCCAAAAATCTCCCTGCTTCCTACTGCCAACTCTACTTTTTTTTTTTTTGCTCCCGACACTTTTAATGATTTATTTCCCCAAAAAAAAAAAAATCTTTGAACAGCTTTGCCACTTCATCTATCACACTTTACCACTGATAAGCAGTATTTAAATCTTGCAAGGATATTTGGGGCTGCTTTTAGATTTTTCTCTCTGGGAAAGTGAGAGTTACACATTGTGGTTATAGAACAATGCCTGGATCCATTATGGCAGTACTTGGTTTTTTCCCCCATTTTCTCTAGCAGGTTGCCCCCTTTTTTGGTTATTGTTCCATTTAGAATGAACGGGTGTAAGGTATTTGCCTGTGCCTTTATTTTTTGTTCTTGCTGGGGGGTTGGGTGTAGTGGCAGAATAGGGTTGGGGACTTTGCTTCCAACATTGCAAGTGGCACTTCTATCCTGCCAACCTCAAACATGCGACCCAGTTGCGTTGGTTTCTCAGAGACTGAGAATGCGCATCTGTTCGTGCACCGCGAGCACTGGCCGTGTTCTTCAGGGCTTGTTTATGATGAGTTGACAAACACCACCTGTCACTTTTGGTTGGTGGCTGTAAATTTCTTACTGTCTGGGGGGAAATCATGCCGTGTTGCATTGTGCAACAGGAAACCAACAGGGACTGTGTCGGGCAGAGAAGTGCTTGTACTTCTCCACCTGAGAGGGCAGGAGGTAAACCTACAGCTCCTGTGAGCAGGTGTGTTGATGTGTATCGACTTGGGAGAAGAAGAAGGGGAAAAGACCACTGACCGTGAGGAAGACAACTTGCTTTTTTGCTTAGAAGTAGATGTTTAAGTGATGCTTAACACAGGCAGTATTAACTTTGCCTTTTGTTCAGGCCGTCAGCATGTATTGTTAACATCACCGCACACCCCGCCTCAGCTACCAAGTGTACACTGTCCGTGGTGGGGGGTGTGTGTGTGTATGTGTGTGTACACGTGCTCCAAATCTTGTTTTGATTTTTTTCTTTCTTTCCTGAATGTGATCATGTTTTGGATGATACCTGAGCAGGGTTGCCTTTTTTTTTAATTATTACCATTATATATTATATATTATATATTATATATTTTTGCTTTCTTACAAACGTTAGGGGAAGTCAAATCTTGGTATTAATAAAACTGTTTAAAAAGGAAAATAAACTCTCCAGTTGATAAATGAAAAAAAAAATCACTGGTCTAATAAGATGATGAATTTTTTCTTTGATCACTGTGGAATAAAGTGCCAGCTCTTGTCAACACGATGATTTTGTACGTAGAGATAGATAGGGAAGCAGCGATTGTTCTCGAAGGGAAGATGTGCAACATGCGTTCGTGAGGGGACTTCCGTGTATTTTATCTACTTCAATGAAACTGCAACGTGGGGCTTTGTGAATAAACTTTAGCTGCCTTGTATAGTCCTTTAAAAGAGACATATGTGATCTGTGAGAGAATTATAGTTTTTTTTTTTTAGAAGAAAAATTTGCAAAAGATCTTTCCAAAGACAATGTACCACAGATCTTGTTATTCTCTGTAATGAGGATTAATTGCTATTTAAAGGAAATGTAATTGACTTGTTCATCTTCAGATTCTTTCCTTTTCACAAGAGGATCAAGCTGTAAAAATAAATAAATAAATAAAAATTTAGAGAAATCACTGGGGTTGAATCTGTGTTTTTCCGCTTTGCTTTGGATAAAGCAATTCTTAAAATTTCTGTAAGAAATTGCCATCTGTAGCCCAGGAGTTCTGCATGGAATAATGTGCTGTTATTCACAACATGTGTTGGATGCTGAAATGGGGAAAGAAATGTGGTCGGAAGGTAGCTCATCCTTCTGTTCGGTTTGTTTTCGAGGTTGTAATCGCACGCAAATTAGGCCGCCATCATCAGTGTGGCTTCTCATCCTAGCAGCAACTGGAAGGAACAGCAGTGACCAAGTTTGTCTGTCTTCAGTTTGCTGGGTAGACGAGTTTTGTAGAGCCAGGGGTTCTCAAACTACGGCCCGCTGAGGACATGTATCCGGCCCTGTGGGCGTGTTTGCCGCCGCTGCCTGTCCTGCTCAGCAGCCGACTCGTCCGGGGCCCGCAGTCTCCAACGGTCTGAGGGACAGTGGACTGGCCCTGTGTAAAAAGTTTGAGGACCCCTGTTGTAGAGTGTCAGTATTGAATCTGTTATTTTCTCCCTTTGCCACCCTTCACTGACCCTCTGCCTCAGTGGTTTCAGAGAGGACCTAGGATGCTGAACTCTTGACTTCCCTGAATTTGAACCCCAGCTGTGCAGTTTGCTAATATTGTCACCCTCGGATAAGCTACCTAACCCCTCTCAGGGTCTCCCTTCATTTAGAAACTGTCATAC